GGGTGACTCGCGAAAGTGAGTCCGAGGGAGCCTGAGAAAGACCGGGATTCCTGTCTGCCCTTTTTTTTTTTTTGTCCCTCCTCGTCCCCTCCCGTTCTCGGGTTAACACAGCCTGTGGCGACAGGTGCTGGAAGTCTGGGCACCCAGATGGTCTTTAAACATTTGGCCCATCTTTTTTTGAAACTTAAAACTACGTGGCCCGCCGCGGAGGAACACGTGTCTCGAATGGACTGCGGCCGACTGAGGCCTAGTGCTGGCCGCCGAGCCTACAAAGCCACACGTTGAACTGTTACTTTGTGAATCATCATCAGTTGTAACATACAAATATTTGACAAAATATGGATGGGTGTTGAACATTTACTGGCATCATGTGATTTAAAGTCGGGCTTTGTAGTTCGTTTCACTGCTTTAAAATGCATCATTGAATCACCACTGAAAATCAAGTTCATATTTAATGGGGCCTGTAAAGCTAAGTAGCCCACATTTGTATACATCGGCTAAATACTAAAACTATAACCGAATAAGTGGATTGGTCTGTGTATAGTTTGTGTAAGATGTCCGTGAGTAATTTCTTTTTCTTTTCTTTTCTTTTTATTCAGTAAACCAAAATGGGAAAGGAAAAGATCCACATCAACATCGTGGTCATTGGCCATGTCGACTCCGGCAAGTCCACCTCCACCGGTCACTTGATCTACAAGTGCGGAGGAATCGACAAGAGAACCATCGAGAAGTTCGAGAAGGAAGCCGCTGAGGTGAGTCACACGGTGACAATGTGTCATTTTTCAGAAGTCACGGCGAACCGTTATAAGTGTAAAACAAGATGGCGGCGGCAGCAGCGGTGTCAGCATGCCCACTCCTCACCCGGTACGAGCGTGTGTGAGCGCGCGGAACGGGCGGGGCTAGTCGCGGGCACCCGCAATACAGTTAGTCAGACCTCAGGGTGTGGATTTGACTTGACCCTGCTGTGATAGCTCTGACAAATAGTTGGAAGTGTGGTTTTGTACAACGTTTATGGCTTTTTTTTTTTTTTGTGGAAATAAACGTTTCAGTAAAATTGTTTAGTAAAAGATTCAAAGATTTTGAACTATTAATTTAAGCTTCTGTTGTGGGTATATCAAGAAACAAATCTCTATCCTGCATGTAATGATGATGCAGTAAGTTTTATTTGTAGTGATGTATATATTTTTTAAAATCTGTCAGTCGTGTTCAGTTCAACAGTTTGTGCAGCAACATGCAATGGAGTTTGTAGTCTAATCCCTGGGAATATTGATCCAAACAAGGATGTGCAGTGAATTTATCTTACGTTAGTCGGTTGTTATATATAAACTTGAGTTCTGAGAACAAAATTAATGTGTCAATCTTAATTACTTTACAGATGGGCAAGGGTTCCTTCAAGTACGCCTGGGTGTTGGACAAACTGAAGGCCGAGCGTGAGCGTGGTATCACCATCGACATCGCTCTGTGGAAGTTTGAGACCGCCAAGTACTACGTGACCATCATTGATGCCCCTGGACACAGAGACTTCATCAAGAACATGATCACTGGAACCTCTCAGGTGAGAACACGTCGATCATTTAGATGGTTTCCTGTTCAGTTTTGCCTGCAGCCACTTAACTAAGTTCTTCCTGTTCAGGCCGACTGTGCCGTCCTGATCGTTGCTGCCGGTACTGGTGAGTTCGAGGCTGGTATCTCCAAGAACGGTCAGACCCGTGAGCACGCCCTGCTGGCCTTCACCCTGGGTGTGAAGCAGCTCATTGTGGGAGTCAACAAGATGGACTCCACTGAGCCCCCTTACAGCCAGAAGCGTTTTGAGGAAATCACCAAGGAAGTCAGCACTTACATCAAGAAGATTGGTTACAATCCTCCTGCTGTTGCCTTTGTGCCCATCTCTGGTTGGCATGGAGACAACATGCTGGAGGCCAGTGAGAAGGTGAGATCAAAGACTCAATGTGATGTGTCTTTATTTCTTAGTCTTGTGGACACGCAACTTAATGTTGTCCAATCACTTTTAGATGAGCTGGTACAAGGGATGGAAGATTGAGCGCAAGGACGGCAATGCCAATGGAACCACCCTGCTGGAGGCTCTTGATGCCATCCTGCCTCCATCCCGCCCCACCGACAAGCCCCTGCGTCTGCCCCTCCAGGATGTCTACAAAATTGGCGGTAGGAATGGAATAAAATATACATCCTGAATTTGACCACTTGTTTCCAAAAAGACTAAAACCAACTTCCCTTTTTCTCAGGTATTGGAACTGTGCCCGTCGGCCGTGTTGAGACTGGCTTGCTGAAGCCCGGTATGGTCGTCACCTTCGCTCCCCCCAACCTGACCACTGAGGTCAAGTCCGTGGAGATGCACCACGAGTCCCTGACCGAGGCCGTGCCCGGTGACAACGTCGGCTTCAACATCAAGAACGTGTCCGTCAAGGAAATCCGTCGTGGATACGTCGCTGGCGACAGCAAGAACGACCCACCCAAGGCTGCTGATAACTTCAATGCCCAGGTAGGTCTGGGTGACAAAGTGAGGTTTTGATCAGGGCAGCTCATCATTGACTTCAAACTTTAATGGCTTCAAATCTTCTGCAGGTCATCATCCTGAACCACCCTGGACAGATCAGTGCTGGTTACGCTCCCGTGCTGGATTGCCACACTGCTCACATTGCCTGCAAGTTCAGCGAGCTCATTGAGAAGATCGACCGTCGTTCTGGCAAGAAGCTTGAGGATGCCCCCAAGTTTGTCAAGTCTGGAGACGCCGCCATCGTCAAACTCATCCCACTGAAGCCCATGGTTGTGGAGCCCTTCTCCAACTACGCTCCCCTCGGTACGGCACACGACGCCACTCTGAAATGCCAAGTCACGCTGCAGCATAATGCAGTAGGAAAGATGTACTCACACCCAACTGTCTTCTGCTTACAGGTCGTTTTGCCGTGCGTGACATGAGGCAGACTGTGGCCGTCGGCGTCATCAAGAGCGTGGACACCAAGGAAGTCAGCGGAAAGACAACCAAGGCTGCAGAGAAGGCCTCAAAGAAGAAATGAATGCTCATGAAGGACGTCCAGCAACATGGAGTGTGTCTGCCCTGGCGGGCCACTCTTCCTCCCACAACTCCCCCCAACCCCAGAACATCTTCTCTGAGGCATAGCTCTCTACTTAAGGACTGGCTTATGCTGATTAAAACCCATCGCAAAAGTTTTCGCAGGAAAAAAGAACAATGTGGCATTGTCACTCACCTGAATCACATGACAGTGCCTCTTCTCAGTTAAAGTTTAAGTTGGAGAATGGTTTAGAACTGTATGTTGATCTTAATGCCACATTTGATTGGAAAGTCAAAAAGCTGCTGGTAACTAATAAAAATAAATGTCTTTGAAAAAATTGAGAATTTGGCTGGTCTGGGTCCTTCAGCGCTGCTGTTCCACTGATGGTTTTCCACTGTCTCCAGTGCCTCCCTCTGCTGTGTTGCAGCTGTTTGGACATGCTATCTGTGTCCACTGATGCACTTGTCATCCAATCCCCTCCATTAGAGTTATGCAGCACCAGCCAATAGCACCCGTTGGTTTTTTAGTCGACAGATACAAGGGCACACGCACAGCCCTCCCTCTGCTTGGGTTCTGTATAAAAACTCAAGACGGATCCCATTCTGTCCTTTTTTCCCCTCCGCTCAGGTCTGGAGACGTCTTGTTTATTGGCACAGGTTGGTCTCATTTCTGTCTGCCTTCACAAGCTAAAATGCATGTTGAATGAAGCTGCATTTCAGGACTGGGATTTTAATGGGGAGGAAGGGGACAGAGGGGTTTCTTGTGCTGCTCTTTAAAATCTGCCTGTCTTCTAAATTGTTGATTTTTATTTTGTCAAATAGTTTGACCTATCACTCTTGGAAAATACCTTCTTTAAAACTAAGATTTGTAATTGTGATTTGTAGACAAATCCTCAAGTGATGAACAGCTGAAGACACGGTTTCTGCATTTTGCCAGTCATGGTAGTTCTCTGCTGTCCTCGTGAACGCGCACCATTTCTCCTACAGTGCATGCTGTATAACGTCAGGGGGCGCGCATGTGTCGGTGATAATATGGCGGCGGTGCGCTAACGGCTCAACATGGAGGCCGAGAATCAGTCGGCACTGAGCACATGGTGCACCGTGACTCAGCTGCCGTCGCTTTCCGGTATCACGATCGAACGATAGTAATAGATATGATGTAATATGGTGATTAAAACCGCAACAAAGAGGAATTTCGAAAAAAAAAAAAAAATTCGAAGGATTATTTGTGTATAAATATAACAAAGTACAGCTACACGAATGACCAATGCTGCGTTCACATACAGTCGGTACCGAGTATGAACACAAAACGACACGCTACCTTCAGGTTCTGTGTTTGGTAAGACGGTTATTTCCCAAATAACGGGCTCCGGGCATGTGCACGAACAGGTGAAATGTGCAAACGGTCAAATGAAAATGCTAAAATGAACGTCATTGTAGCGACGATTTTCTCTCAACCATTTTAATGTACAATACCCTGGTCCATGTTGAGTTAAAAGTAAACTGTATTGCCTCTATTGTCATCTTTTAATTACAAAATGTTAGTTTTACAACCCGACACTAGTTTCCAGTACAGCTGCCTTTTAAATGTTTCTGGTTATTGATATATGTACAGCGCTTGTGAACGCCCTGAACGACGATACTCCTAATTACGAGCCAAGTACTGCAGCGTGAACGCAGCGGTTCTTCTCTGTTGAAATGGTTGTTATGCGTCATGTGACAATGCGTCAACCTCGAAGGAACGTGTGTGACGTATGGAAGAGGATAAGACACTTAATGAATCACTTTTATTCATGTCTGACTTTTTCCTTATGGGATTTTCAACGTTTTTTAAAAACCTAAGCAGCCAATTAAAGGAATAAATAAAACATAACTGTGAGTTGACTCTCAGATACCTAACCTCTTATCACCGGAACTTTTTTCAGTATTATTATATCTCTTGAAATTTAGGAGAAAATTATATAAACTCTAACCATCTTTACTAGGCCACATTAGTATAAAACTGAATTCTTTCATTTTCAAATGTTTCTTAAGTTTAATTAATGCTTTAAAATGCATCATATAATCAGCACTGATAATACAATACATATTTAATGGCGTCCGTTAAGTGGCCCACATCTGTATACATCGGCTAAATATTAAAACTACAACCGAGAAAGTGGACTGGTCTGTGTATAGTTTGGCTAAGATGGCCGTGAGTCATTGGTTGTTATTGTTTTTGTTGTTGTGTTTTTTTCATTCAGTAAACCAAAATGGGAAAGGAAAAGATCCACATCAACATCGTGGTCATTGGCCATGTCGACTCCGGCAAGTCCACCACCACCGGTCACCTGATCTACAAGTGCGGAGGAATCGACAAGAGAACCATCGAGAAGTTCGAGAAGGAAGCCGCTGAGGTTTGAACAATATTTTTTTTTCTTTTTCTGTTCTTTAGTGATTATTCTATTTTAGTTTTTTTTTTAGTCTAACCCTAACCCTAACCCTAACCCTATTTATTTATTACGGTTAATCATGTCGTCATCATCCCTGAATGAAGGAGAGCTGGTGTGGTGGTTACTGTTCTCTGACATGGGCCAGTCGAACACTGCCCCCCACAGTTGTAATATGACTACTGTCCCCTGTACTGGAGTGTTGACCCATGTTACCAAGGGCCATTGTAATATAATATGACAATTATAAAGTTGACTTATGCGATAAAATATTGATTTTCTACAGATTTCAGACAGTTTTCATATTTTATAAATGATGTATTAAACATTATAATAAATTGACTTTTATTGGAAGAGCAAAGGGCAAAGATCATCAACGTAATCAGTCCTCAGCTCTGTTATCAAATTGTCCAAATTTTTTTTTTTTTTCAATCTTCACAGATGGGCAAGGGTTCCTTCAAGTACGCCTGGGTGTTGGACAAACTGAAGGCCGAGCGTGAGCGTGGTATCACCATCGACATCGCTCTGTGGAAGTTTGAGACCGCCAAGTACTACGTGACCATCATTGATGCCCCTGGACACAGAGACTTCATCAAGAACATGATCACTGGAACCTCTCAGGTGAGAACACGTGGAGAACATCACCAACAACGTCCTGTAGGAGAGTCTTTGTTTGACCCGGTTCCTCCTGTTCAGGCCGACTGTGCCGTGCTGATCGTTGCCGCCGGCGTTGGTGAGTTCGAGGCTGGTATCTCCAAGAACGGTCAGACCCGTGAGCACGCCCTGCTGGCCTACACCCTGGGTGTGAAGCAGCTCATTGTGGGAGTCAACAAGATGGACTCCACTGAGCCCCCTTACAGCCAGAAGCGTTTTGAGGAAATCACCAAGGAAGTCAGCGCTTACATCAAGAAGATTGGTTACAATCCTGCCACTGTTGCCTTCGTGCCCATCTCTGGTTGGCATGGAGACAACATGCTGGAGGCCAGTGAGAAGGTGAGAAACTGCTGCCTCTTGTCCCAGGTCAGCTGACATCACTGCTTCATCTGAAATCTTCTTGTTGTGTCTTTATCCTCTCTGCAGATGACCTGGTTCAAGGGTTGGAAGATTGAGCGCAAAGAGGGCGGAGCCACTGGTACAACTCTGCTGGAGGCTCTTGACTCCATCCTGCCTCCCTCCCGTCCCACAGACAAGCCCCTCCGTCTCCCCCTGCAGGATGTCTACAAGATTGGCGGTTCGTGCTCTGATTAACTGCAAACAACCTCAGTGAAAAGTGAAAGTCATGCGGATAAAAAATGGACAACAGAGCAAATGTGGCGTTCACTTCCCTTCCTCTCAGGTATTGGAACGGTGCCCGTCGGCCGTGTTGAGACTGGCGTGCTGAAGCCCGGTATGGTCGTCACCTTCGCTCCCCCCAACCTGACCACTGAGGTCAAGTCCGTGGAGATGCACCACGAGACCCTGACCGAGGCGATGCCCGGTGACAACGTCGGCTTCAACATCAAGAACGTGTCCGTCAAGGAAATCCGTCGTGGAAACGTGGCAGGCGACAGCAAGAACGACCCACCACTGGCAGCAGAGAACTTCACCGCTCAGGTGAGAGAACAGCTGTTTGTCAAAAACCTTAAGGACTGGTTCCACTGGTGGTACACGCACCATAGTTTGTGAACCACCGGCCTTAAGTCTTCATTTGTGTAACTCTGACGTCCGTGAAAAACATCACCTTCGGTGTCTGTGTTGAGGAACATTGTTTTGCTGTCAATCAACTGTGTTGGCGATCTCCAGGACAGTCAGACATGTGGGTTGAAGCCAACGCTAGCGAAGACGTCAACGCTGGTTTTCACATTATAAAAAAATGTCGCCTTCAAGCACGGCGGCTGTTTGGTTGGAGCCGGGCGTTAGAAACTTTAAAATGTAATGGACACACAGGATCAGTCATGATTTGGTTTCCCGTGGGGAGAAACACATTGAGGTGTATTTGAATACAGGGTGGAGAAAGTCATATCTGATGACACACACACAAAGAGACCAGTCCAGGGTGTGTGTTTCTCTGCTGCCGTCCTCAGGAATACTGTAAAAGTTGACAGATAAACCTCCAGTCCACGTGTCACCAGGAGTGAACAAACAGCGCAGCGCTGTGGGCCAATGTGACGCTGATGACATCACCGCAGATACGGTCCGTCCTGTTGAACATGTTTTGCTGCCAACTTGACTCACGGTGTATGAAAATGCACCACGGCAGTAAGACTGGCACACAGGCTGAAAAACAACGACTTCCCAGAGAGAGAGAGGGGGGAGGGGAGGGGTAGATCAGTGGGTATTTCTGAAAACTTAGCTGAAAACTATTGAACAGCAGCCAAACAGTATGTGAGTGTGTCAGATATGTCTGGGAGGATCCTCCCACGGCTAATCTTGTTTGAACTGGTGCGATCCTTCGGCCTGATTAGTTCATCTTCACTCCTCTCAAAATGTACTTTGAGGAAATTGAAGGTTTTTTTATACACTATATGAAAGCAGAGAAGAGTCTCAGAAGAAACTCATTTGGTAAACAAATGAATGAATATATGTATTTGCCTACGATGTCTGGCTAACCTTAAAGCATCTCAGGCTAACTCTCAACTCCGAGTTAGTTTTGAAACTTGTTTTGGTGCCAGCCTTTTTTGTTTCTTTTCTTTAACTCAACGACATTTTTGCGACCGTCGTCCCGGTCTTTTTGAGTCAACAGTTTCTTGTCTTGTAGCTATTCTTTAGCCGTCTCTGGCTAGCATTTTAGTTCCATTGTCTTGACCTTTAGTTACTGAGTCCTTCAGTTGACTTTAACTAGTCCTAATAATGACCTTAACTTTTAGCCTTTATGCTCTTGTGAGATGAGTTGTTGTTTCCTTTTTTTAGTGTGTGTTGTTTAGATTTTGGAGCTGATCTTTAGCCGCTGCTCACTACCTCTTTTTGAGCAACTTTTAACAAATTCTTGCCTAACTAATTAAAACCACGACTTAGTGCTGATTCAATCCTAATGTTTGCGCTGTTTGAGTGTGTCCCCGGAGACCCCTGACTGGACACCCCTGCTCTTAATGTCTGTTCATGTTCGCCCCCTACAGGTCATCATCCTGAACCACCCCGGCCAGATTTCCCAGGGTTACGCCCCCGTGCTGGATTGCCACACTGCTCACATTGCTTGCAAGTTCAGTGAGCTGAAGGAGAAGATCGACCGCCGTTCCGGCAAAAAGCTTGAGGAGAATCCCAAAGCTCTGAAGTCTGGAGACGCCGCCATCATCACCATGGTGCCTGGGAAACCCATGTGTGTTGAGAGCTTCTCCCAGTATCCACCACTGGGTGAGTCCAACAGGCTTTGGTTCAGTGCAGCTGTCCAGCAAATATTTGTCTATTTGATAACGCTAATGCTAAACTTTGACGTTTTCACCTCCAGGTCGCTTTGCCGTGCGTGACATGAGGCAGACAGTGGCCGTTGGTGTCATTAAGTCCGTGGAGAAGAAGGCCCCCTCTGGTGGAAAGGTCACCAAGTCTGCACAGAAGGCCGAGAAGAAGAAGTGAATGGATGTCCAGGTAGATGTCGTGGAGCGGCAGCAGCAGCAGCAGCAGCAGCAGCAGCAGCTGGCCTCCACTTTCATGCTCCTCCTCTTTCATCGCCACCCGGTGCCGTGTTCCCTGAGGCACAGCTCTTTACTCAAGGACTGGCTTATGCTGATCAAAACCCATCGTAAAAGTTTCCGCAGGAAAGGAAGGCACACGCCTATTAGGAGAAACTGTGATTGTGATTAATTTCAAACCAAAAACAATAAAAACATTCAAATGTTGCCAAAGTACGATGTTTCTAGTGTGTTCCATCCATGTTGAAAAAGTACACAAGCTGCGCTAAAATGACGTAAACATCGTAATGGATCGCTTAAAATACCTTGAAAT